TTGGGGGACAGTTTTTGCAGTGTAAAATCCACAACAACAAAACTATTACACGTTCAGTGTAGGTGTGCAACAATACATGTACCCATATCAAACAGTGTTTTAGGTTCAACACACACTTGTATGGAACAATACAGATTTTTAAAATTAACTTTATCAACTTGTCTTCTGAAGATGCTCTGTGTTGAAGGATCAGTGGATCTGTGTTCGACTACTCCACCTAGGCTGCATTTTTGAGCTCAGATCCACTGAGAAACTTGCTGTTTCAGCAACATTTAATTTAAAAACTGTACTTTTGAGGTTAAACAAATGTTCTTAATTAATATAAATAAATTACAAGTTAAAAGGGGCATGGACATTTCTCTTTTTGTCTCAAAAAATATCGAACCGTGAGACAAGTATCGAACCGAACCGTGAATTTTCTGTATCGTTGCACCACTGGTTCAATGCATTGCTGTTGGGGCTGGATAAATGTTAACTAAGGCCAGATTTGGCCCATGGGTCTGGAGTTTGACACATTATGGCTTTAAATGATGAAGAACAATGAAACACACAGAAACTCCAGTTTGTGAAATTTATCTGTTTTATTCAACTATTTAGACAAAGATAGAAGAAAGAAGAAAAGTAACTGAAATAAAGCAGCTATTTAAAACAGTCATTGGCTCCAACACTTTACTAAACTTACAAAAAGAAGAAAGMATAACTGAGCTGTGGAAGAACTGCTTTATTTTAGTCTTAAATAATGTAGTACTGTTTTGTTCTGTGGATGGAAACTGCTGTGAGAAGAACTGCTCATAACTCAGGCAAAACTACTCGATTCATCTGAAACGTCTTCCTGATCCGATGGGAGATCCAGATTTGACTTTCTGATGTCGCCTGTTTTTACATTTCCCTTTTTGTTTGATTTATCTTCTCGAGTTCCTCCTACATGTTGGAGTCGGGACGATGAAAYATAAAGGGGTTTACTTACATCCTGAGGGATGATCGCATCCGAAGAACAACTCTGACCTGCATCGATCACAGAGGAAATGAAGCTTTTTAACGTCCTGCAGTCAGGATGTCCTTTCTGTTTGCTTCATCGACTCAGATGGAGACCAGAGGATGAATGTGCTGCAGTTTGTGCTTCATTTGTTCAGGTTGGATCTTAAATTTAAACACGCTTATTTTAGTCAACTGAGTTTAGATGATTTATTCTTGAATTTGACAGATTAAAGGGTCTGATGAGGCAGAAACTCTTAGCTGCAGTAAAATCAATCAACTTCTATTAGATTTGTGTGACAGAAGCTGTGTTTCCATTACAAATGTGCAAAACTTTGTCGATATTCTAATGTTGAAAAACA